CTGTCTCCTTGACAGTGTCAGAACCAGAGAGTCACTCCATAGCATCTCATAACCTCACCCTGCAACAAGATAGATGAGAGGACAGAAATGTGACAGTGGTAGTGGAAAAGAGGAAGGTACTCAGTGATTGGGAAGAACCAACTGTACATGGGATTGGGACCAGTCTGGGCTTGTTTGTGTCTGAGGCTGCCACAACTGGGACAGGGACAGAGAGGGAAACAGTGTAAGGAATGTAAGGGCCAGTTAGAGACATAAAGGCAGACACTAGCTGGAGACTCCTGCCCCAACCATTCAACCCAGAAGCCAAGATCAGCACCAAGCCCAGCACTAATTCTACTGCAGATTGGTTGGAATTATCCAACAGTTTTGTGCTCTCTGACTTGGACACAAGCATAGAACTGTGGGCACCATAGGAATTTTATCCTTTTTCTTTTTTTTAAATTTATATCTTCTGTCTGTTTTTGTTGCTGTTTTGTTTAAATTTTTACCTTTATTATTGTTCTATCCCATTCATTTTTTTCCCTTTCCTCAACTATCAGTTGATTTTACAGTATTTTCATGTGACTGAATATTATCTCCAGTCTTACTACTTTGTGTCAATAATCTTTGACTTGTTCCTTCATTATTTTTCTCCTGACCCCTTCTCTAGGTTATCATCTGTGACCATCTTTTGTTATCCAAGCTTATTTCTACTATATTTCTCTTCACTTATCTCTCTTTATGTCCCATAACCTCTTTAATTTGCCCACCACAAGGTAAAATCACTCTACCAGGGAGAAACTCATTCCATAAAAGTTCTTGGTTTTTTTTTTAAATAAAAATGTGGATCTTGCCCCCTAAAAAATTAGTTAAAATAGTTGGTCAGTTTCTACCCTATCCTTGATAGTATTATTGCTACTTGTAATACGTTAGCCAAGTTAAAATAACTGTTGCAATAAAAACACTCATTTCTCCTTTCTATAAAAACACTGTGATTTTCTGGAGTGATAAATATTACCATAGTCCAGTACCAAAGGACTAGGTACTGAGCCAAATAAATAGCAACACGTCATTCTTAATAAATTCAGAAGGTAGAATCTTCAGACATATGCAAAAATCAAAACCTTCTACATTTAGAAGACATCTCTGAAGAACACACATCCTAAGGAGGACTTGATATTGGTCATAAAGTTACCTACTATAAAAAATTTACAAACAGAACATGGAAAACAAGATTATTAATTATATTAATTATATTATATATTAATTATAAATTAATATATTTATTATATTATTTATATTAATTATATGGAAATTGACATGATGCAGAAGCAAAATCTAACCATGGACCTCCAGTCCACTTGAGAGAAGTACAAGAGATAATGATGCAGAGAAAAATAGACGCCAACTATCTGAAATTTCTGAAACAACAGCAGAAAAATTTCAAAAACAGATACATGAGACTATAGAGGAAAGTAAATCAGAAATAATTCCCCAGATTAAAAACATAATAGAGATGATGACCATAAGGAATGATTTACTCAGCTAATATAGGATGGATAAATATTAAAATAAAAGGATATAGGTATAATATATATATATATATATATATACACACACATTTAATGTTCTAGATTTTACCATCTTACAGTGTGTTACACAGTACTTATAAACATGATGTTCAGGATAAGCATGTATACTTTATTGGTTAGTTAAAATAATAAATGAATTTGAAAATAAAGAGATAATTTACACAGTGGGAAAGGATTTTTTTTATAATGTGGAAACCAAATGATCAATTAAGGCTCCATTGATTACTCAAAGTGGTCATTGAGAGATGGTTTCCTGGATTGATTCCTTGTTCAAATTAGTTTTAACTTAAATTGATTTCAAAGAACACCAACAAAAAGTTTCACTTCAGGAAAATAAATCTATGTCACTCTATTGCTTCATGCAAAGACAAAATAGCTACTGAAAGCTTTTATCCTGCTGTCTTTCAAACCCTGAGGGAACAGAATTGTATAGAGACTGAAAAGACAATAGAACATTTACTTAATTAGGACCCATAGGAATCCAAACCTTGAGATGAAAGAAACTTTAAACCTATCCCTGATACCCCTCCCCTGTAATCCTCAAGTCCTGCCTGTGTGAAAACCTCACTGGGCTTTGTAGAGAGCAATTGTGAAGAAGGGAGCTTCAAGGATGACCTTCAAAAGGAGGTAGTCTGTCTCTCGGAGGAATAAAAGGAAACCATATAGATGGGTCTGGGCTGTGCCTCTGGAATAAGAATTCTGGGAAAGCTGTGTTTTCTTTAGTCTGTGAAGCTGTGTTCCTGTACAGTGAAGGAAATTTGGCTTTCTGCAATCAGTCTTTTGTAGCTCCTGTTTTGTTACTCTTTGTACCTTTGTAATTGGGAGCACTCCCCAATAAAAGTTATTGTCTGCAGTTTCCAAACTTCACTCTCTACAAATGACAGGCTCCTGTCAGATTTCCTGCATCTAATTCCTTCTTTGTTTACTACTCACTGGAAATCTATTATGCACAAGGTATTGTTTATTTTACTTTACCTGAAGGAGTTTTTTGTTCTGGTCCTTAACTGTTTTTGCTGATGTATTTGACAAGGCGATAGTCTTTGAGAGCTACCTGTTGTTACTGTTTCACCTTAGTCTCTGTAAAACTATCAATAATGTCATTGTTTCTGAGGTACAGAGCTCAGTCCTATTTCCTTCCTTTATTTTAACAGTACCTTCAAAGATTCAGGAAAATATTGAATAAATTTTGTAACTGTCTTTACATGCTCAAAACTTTAACACAAATACTTCAATGTCTCAAATTTTCTCATGGACCTTGTTTGGAAATAGCCATTGTCTTGTGTTGTAGAAAATTGATCTTGTTTGCTTTGTTTCCTGAAAGGCTCATTCCTGGCTGTTAACTACTATGAGGCTGCTAGACATTTTCAAATGTATACTGTTGTAATGGTTAGGATTTTTGTTTAATGACCTATTTTTAATGAGTTATGTCAACCAGCATTTTTATGATAAGCAAATTTTCTTTCTTTAGAATCAGCATTAGTTGATCATATTTTACTCTTTTAAAATAGATGCAAACTCATTTCATTTAACTTTCCTATTTTCAAGTAACCATCAACTTCAAGATTATTCCTTATGTTATCTATTTTAATTGTTATTATGCATCTAATATTTATGTTTATTCAAAAAGTATAAATGTATAGGTACCATGTAAGGATCTGTAAAGTCAAATGATGGAGCCGAACTTTAACAATCTCAGATCCACAAACATGAATTTATCAATATGAAAAGGACATAAAGATTAAGAAAAGAACTTCTGTGACCTCATACATTCTGTTCCTTATCCTCTGCCCTATTGTTTTGGTCTCTTAAATGCCCTATTCTACTGTGCTGTCACTTGATTAGGCCCTCCACATCTGGCCTCTCACCATAGAATATTTGCTTTTTTTTTTTAATTATCATTATTAACAGTGACTCATCCTCGTTTTAGTTCTAAAATTCCTAATTTTAAAAAGCCTCTTCTGCCTATTATCTCCTAGTAAATTGTTTTTCAATTATGTTTTCTGACTGCATTATCCAATCTATATACATTAATACGGCTGCCTCTATTTTAATCATGGCATTTATAAGCATTATCCCCCAGATAAGCATTACTTGTTTAACATTTAAGATGTTTGGATTTGCAGAAGTCTGGAATATTTTCAGAAAATCCATCAGACATGAATTGGGACAATTACCTGCTGATTACAATATGATATGTACCCACTTGGGAGTATGGACATATAACACCATCACTTATGGATCATATTTAATTTTAACTGTACTATCAATTTGTTTCCTCTTTCAATTTCTACAGTCTACATTTCTTTTTCTGAATTAAAAGAACTCACATATAAGACATTCTCTAAAAGCAGGATCCATAGCACCATTAGAAATGTCACATGGTGGTCAGAAGAGTTAACATACCTGTTGTATGTGTGAAGAAAATGATTTCAGCCATTGTGACTGCCCTAGTTTAGAGAGATTTTTCTGAATGATACCACTGCAAGACAGATGTGTTGTTATACCAATAAGGCCAGGTTTTTTAAAATAACCATTGCATATCTCAGGAAATACAAAGGAAAAACCATCCATATGCTGTTTTTTTTAATTCAGTCTCATGTGCTGAACATTTTAATTTGCAAAGGAGAACTAAAGTATTTGTAACTAAGTGAGTTGGAATAATTTTCTCAGACTCACGTAGATGATAACGGAGGAACTAATTGTATTCCATCAAATGTGATTGAACAATCCAGCTTCTATTTCTAATTTCAGCTCTATTTATAGCTTGGGAGGATTAAATATCTGACATGATTACTAAAGAGTAGAAAATAATAATCACAGCTAATAGTTATGGAGGCTTTTACTATACTCAAAAACATGTTTTATTCTCAATAACAAAATTATAGCATCAATAATTATCACATTTGTAGGAAAAAATAAGCCACTAGGAGTTAACACATATCAGTAGTAATTATCAAGTCATAGAATAAAAATTGTTTTAGTTATAAATACATGTTTTATCATTGTTATATGAATATGAGACTTAAAAATATAGGGACTCTCATAGAAAATGTATGAAATGCCCTCAAGTAACCTGAAAGTCATAGCAAAGAGGCCAGGGATAGCCATGTGCCTGGTAAGTGTGAGCTCATGAGTACAAAACAACATGGTACAAAAACAACAACAACAAAAACTAAGCAACTAGTTTTTATTCATAAGTTCAAAAATTAAGTGATAGGATGCAAAACAAGTGACACTTTTCCCAAATTAAAATGTTGGAATAATTATATTTAACAGTGAAATGAGCTCCTGTTGCCTATGTTAGTTAATGTGTAGAGAATGAATCATAGGGTGCAAGGTACATTAACTCAAAGGTGATAATGGGAAATGATATCTGCATAGGTTTAGTTAGATGATTTTTGTAATTTTTTTCTCAAGGAGCAAATGGAAATGGAAGCAGAAAACCACACAAAATCTTCACAGTTCATCCTTCTGGGCCTTTCTGAGGATCCTGAACTACACCCCCTTCTCTTGGGAATGTTCCTGTGCATGTACCTGCTCACAGTGCTTGGGAACCTACTCATCATCCTGGTCACCTCCTGTGACTTGCACCTCCACACCCCCATGTACTTCTTTCTGTCCAACCTGTCCTTTGTGGACATCTGTTTCACTTCCACCATAGTGCCAAAGATGCTGGTGAATCTCCAGGCACACAGAAAAGACATCTCCTACATGGAATGCCTCACTCAGGTATATTTTTTTATGCTTTTTGCTGGCATGGATGATTTTCTACTCACTGTGATGGCCTATGACCGCTTTGTAGCCATCTGTCACCCCTTAAAATACCTGATCATCATGAGCCCTCAACACTGCAGTCTTCTGGTTCTGATAACATGGCTTATTATTGTCTGGGTCTCCCTGATTCATATTCTACTGATGAAGCCACTGACGTTTGGCATGGGCACTGAAATCCCCCATTTCTTCTGTGAATTAGCTCAGGTTCTCAAGGTATCCAGCTCTGATACCCTTATCAATAACATCGTCTTGCTTATAGCAACAGCCCTGTTCTGTGTGTTTCCTGTGACTGGGATCCTCTTCTCTTACTGTCAGATCATTTCCTCTTTGATGAGAATGTCCTCCTCCACAAGCAGGTATAAAGCATTTTCCACCTGTGGGTCTCACCTCTGTGTGGTCTGCTTGTTCTATGGAACATCACTTGGGGTTTACCTCAGTTCTGCTGTGACCCATTCTTCTCGGGCAAGCATGATCGCCTCTGTGATGTACACCGTGGTGACCCCCATGCTGAACCCCTTCATATACAGCCTGAGGAACAAGGATGTGAAGGGGGCTTTGAGAAGACTTCTCTGCAGAGTGGCTTCCTGTCCTAAAGGACCCCTCACCTCAGAACAAAATGTGCATTGTGGCCCCTGAGGGAAGCACTGTGAATTTTAAAATGCTGGATCTTCTTCTGCCTAAAAGACACTTTTCTTCTTTTATTCTATTTTCAAAGTTCATAACTCTGTTTTATATGTCTAAATTATTTCTCCTTACTTACTTTTTATTTCTTTCTTTCTAAGATTTCTACTGTTCACATGGCCCTTCATGTTCCCAAAATGAATTCTTACCTCAATTTTACTTGTACGGGAGGCACTTCTGTCTATGATGGTTCACGCTTACCTTTTCCATTACCAGGTCATACTGAACCCTCCCTCACTTTCATGCCTATTTTTAGTCTTTTGAATTTACTGCTCTATAATTTGAGTGCTTCATAATTGACATATCAAGATGTCAAAATTGCCAATTCCTTCTCTGACCACTCTTTAATCCTTTAATGTTGCCGTTCTCATACTTTTATCATCATATATTTTATTGCTGCCATTTTGGAATTTCTCACTATCTCTGGCAACTTGTACTCTTACTATAAAATCATTTCCTCCATTTTGGGAAACCCAGCATTAGTTGTAAGTGTAGAGCGTGCTCCACGCCAGTGTCTCACTGCTTCATTGTCTATTTTATGGCACAGGCGTGTACCGTAAAATAAACATAGTGCGCACTGATCCTGCTGTACCCTATTGTCTCAAATGTGGTGCAGTTGTCACAGTGATGTGCAGTGTGAATTCTTTCATCAACAATTTGAGGAAGAAGGACAGTACAAGTGCCCTAAAGAAGGTCCACAGCTCAGCAGTATAATTTCACCACTTTTATATTCTTTTGGAATGTGGGTTTCAAACTTCAGCAAAGAAGAAGAAATGCTCATGTAAATCAGGCTTTGTTGGTCTCAGTAAGTTTGTACCTTGTGGGCTTTATTTCCTTGTCTGTCACATTTCATACTGTAGTGCAGATAGTCAAAACTGAGGGGTTGGAGCATTGAAAATTTTTTAAATGGGGAGAAACAATTCAAATGGATAAAAATGTATGGGAGGGTAAAAATTTATATGGATATCTGTGCATACATAACAATGTGAATGAATTTATGTACTGAACTATGGACATAAAAATGATGAAAATATTCATTGTTATGTGCATTTTACTGTAGGGAGCCGAGTGACAGCCCATTGCTGCCTCCCTGCCTCTCTCTCCTATGGGCACTGCATCTGCCTACATTAACCATAATCCTCTCCTGCTTATGTCACATATCCAGATGTGACGGTGACCCTGTTGTATTCATTCCCTTAACCTCTTTCTGCCCTTAGCCTGTAAAAGGTGTGATCATTTCCTGAATAAATGGAAGCTTGATCGGATTATTTCGTCTTGCTTTCATCTCTCTTTGTCTCCCCCATGTCTTTTATTTAATCCCCGTTCCCCCTCCAGGAGTTCTCCATAGATTGATCTGCAGGCCGGATCATTTTGCTACAATATACAATGCAAATAGCACAGAGATGGATCTTTCAAAAATAAACCAGGCACAGAATTACTAGCAATGTGTTTTCTTTCATGTATGCAACAGCTACACAAAGTGCACCTGAAAATAAATGAAGAAGCTCTGGGAAGGGTGTTGGGGTGGGAGTGAGAGTGGAAGAATGATTGGTTATGATAAATGCATGCAGGAAAATGTTACATTGGATCACTGTGATGAAACAAATTAATATGCATTATTAAAATAGATAAGAAAGAACTAAAAATTACTCATAAGCTTTCTGATTAGTAGAATGAGAAAACACCCCTCAGAGGATATTTGCATTCACAATACTAAGAAGCCCTTAGAGACTTGCAGTAAACAGGACAACTTGACTAATTATGAGTTCTGTATCTGGAAGCTCCAAAGTTATGTAATTGAATAATCAACAATTAAGCCATGCCTCCAGTCTTTCATGCTGATTTTTCCAGGTTGGGGGGTTTTCTGACTCTGGCTCCTCCAAGTTGTCTGCATCAGGAAACTCCTATCTGACACTGTATTTATACTGAGGCTGAGGACAGAGGCGAAGTGTTTTGTACGGAATTGGCAGGAAATGTGCATTTGACTCTCATCCCTCAATCAGAATTCGGTAGCAATGCAGCATTATGTAGCATGTTCTGAGGGAGAGGATGGATGGAGAGGGAATCTAGGAGAAACACAGTTACTGTGCCTTCAGGAGGAACAAGCAGTTTGGTTAGCCAGAATGGAGGGCAACAAGTTGCAGAATGTTGACTATGTGAACTGGGAATCATTTTATAAACCTACATGGACTGTCCACCTATGTTAGTGTGGGCATCCTTGAAATCCTCTTCAAAGTTTTTCTTTCATTCTATATTAGTTCTAATTCCCATAGACAGCACAGGTATTTCAGTATAAAATGTGTCCCTCAAAACATTTCTGTAAGCCTCCACAAGGTACAAGTAAGTGATGGATTGTAAAGATGAGGAGGATTGTATTACCTATATCTTTTGTTATTATATTTTATATTAGAGACACAATATGATATTTACAAATGTGAGGCTTGTTTACTTCATTTAGGAGGATAGTCTCAAGTTGCCTCCATTTACCTATAAAAGCCTCAAGGTCATATTTTTTTATAGCTGAGTAATATTCCATTGTATAAAAATAAATCTTTCTCATCCATTCTGTGGTTGATGGGCACTTTGGTTCTTTCTAAGATTTAGATATTAAAAATATTTAAGCAATATATGTGCACCCATTTTAGCAGCAGAGAATAGTTTCAAGTGGCCTCCATTTACCTATAAAAGCCTCGTGAACATCCTTTTTTCAGCAGAGTAGTATTCCATTGTATAAAAATACCACATCTTTTTAATCCACTCTGCAGTTGATGGGCATTTTGGTTGTTTCCAAGATTTAGCTATCACAAATTGTGCTGCCATGACCCAGTGTGCACATATATCAGGGGAAAATACTCAGGAGGGGAATAGCTGGATTGAATGGAACTTTCAATCCTAAATTTTGAGGAATCTCCATACTGATTTTCACAGTGGTTGCACCAGTCTGCACTCTAACCAACAGTGGAGCAGTGTTCCTTTTTCCCTGCATCCTCACCAACATTTGTTATCAGTTGTTTTCTCAATGTCAGCCATTCTTTCCAGGGTGAGATGAAATCTCAATGATGTTTTAATTTGCATTTCTTGAATGGCCAGTGATGGTGAACATTTTTTCATATATTTACTTGCTATTTGTATAACATCATCAGAGAACTGTATGTTCATCTCTGATGCCCATTTTTGAATTTAGGGAGTTCAATGTTCTTTAGTTCTTTATATGTTCTAGATATAAGTCCTTTGAGGATTGTTGGCTAAAATTCTTTCCCATTCTGTGGGTTTTCTTTTCACTTTGTTGGTGATTTCTTTTCACATGCAAAAACCTTTTAGTAATATGAGATCCCAGTTGTTGATTCTTTGAAGTATTTCCCCCATGTAGTTTGCAATTTATTCATGATTTTTGCCCTACCCCTATGTCTCCAAGATTTCTACCTACCTTGTCCTCCAGTAAACTTAGTTTCTATTTTAATGTTTAGATCCTTGATCCTTTTAGACTTTAGTTTAGTGTATGGTGACAGGCACGGTGCTATTTTCAGTCTTCAGCATGTGGAAAGCCAGTTTTTCCAATAGCATTTATTAAAGAGGCTATCTTTTTTTTTTTAGTGAACATGTTTAGCCCCTTTGTCAAATTTAACATTGCTGAGTGTCTTTGTAGTAGTGTTTGTACCTTCTAATCTGTTCCATTGATCCTCCGGCCTATTTTATTTTATTAATCATACTGATTTTATCACTGTGGCTTTGTAGTATAGTTTCAAATCAGGAATTGAGATGCCTTCTGTCTTGTCTTTGTTGCCCAGAATTGCTTTTGCTATGCTAGGTTTCTTCTGTTTCCAAATAAATTTTAAGAATATTTTCTCTAGATCTGTAAGGTATGTTGATGGTACTTTGAATGGGATTGCACTGAATCTGTATAACAATTTTGGAAGTATGGCAATTTTCACAACATTGGTTCTTCCTAACCAAGAGCAAGGAATATCCTTCCATTTTCTAACATCCTCTTCAAGCTTCTTTTTTACAGTAGTATAACTTTCAGCATATAGATCTTTTACATTCTTGGTTAGAGTGATTCTTAAGTATCTCTTTTTTTTAGGTGCTATTGTGAAAGGTGATATTTCCATAATTTTTTCAGTGATTTTATGTTTGTGTACAGGAATACTATTGACTGCTGAGTGTTGACTTTGTATCCAGCTATGCTGCTGAATTTGTTTATTTCCTTTTTTTATAGTCTTTTAATGGAGTTTTTGGGTCTTCTATACAGAGTATCATGTCATCTTCAAATAAAGATAATTCAATTTCTTCTTTCCCTATTTTTGTTCCTTTTATTTCTCCCTTTTGTCTGATTGCCCTGGTAAATATTTCTAGAACTATAGTGAATAGGAGTTTTGATAGTGGACATCCTTGTCTTGTTCCTGGTTTTAGAGTGAAGGCTTTCAGTTTTTGTGCATTTAGTATAATGTTGTCTGTCAGATTGTCATAAATGGCCTTTATGAGACTGAGGAACATAACATTTGTTCTGAGTTTCTGTAGGGTTTTTATCATGACTAGGTGTTGGACTCTATCTAAAGCTTTTTCTGCGTCTATTGAGATGATCATGTAATTTTTATTTTTGGCTCTGGTGACGTGGTGTATTACATTTATTTATTTGTGTATGTTGATCCATCCCTGCATTCCTGGAATAAATCCCACTTGGTTGTGCTGTATAATCTTCTTGATGCATTCTATTTGCCAGCAATTTTTTGAGAATCTTTGCATCAATATTCATTAGTGAGATAGGTCTATAATTCTCCTTTCTGGTTGGGTCTTTCTCTGGTTTTTTGATTTCAGGGTAATACTTGCTTCCAGGAATGCTTTAGAGAGGACTGCTTTTATTTCAAATTCATTGAAGAGTTTAATGTATTTTGGCATTATATCTTCTATAACCTTCTTGTAGAATTCAGTCATGAATCTGTCAGACATTGGGCTTTTCTTTGTTGATAAGTTTTTAGTTATGTTTTTGATTTCAGTAGCTAATATTGGGTTATTCAAAATTGTTTTATCTTCTTGATTGAACTTCGGTAGTTTATATGTTTCTACAAATCTGTCCATTTCTTCTGTGTTTTCCACCATATGTGAGTAAAGATTTTCAAAGTAGGTGTTCATGAACTTTTGAATTTCCATGGGTCTGTAATAATTCCCCTCTTTTCAGTCCTTATTGCATGGATTTGACTTTTTCTTTTTCTTGATAAGGTTGGCTAAAGGTTTATGAATTTTGTTTATTCGGTCTAAAAACCAGCTCTTTGAATCATTAATTCTTTGCATTATTTTTTGTTTAAATTGCTCTAATTTTTGCTCTAATCTTTACAACTTTCTCTCTTCTATGAGCTTTGGGTTTGACTTGCTCTTGCTTCTCTAGGAGCTTGCGATGTAGCATTAAGTTATTTTTTGTGCTCATTCCATTTTCTTGATGTGACTATTTATTACTATATATTTTCCTCTGAGGATTGATTTCATTGTGTCCCATAGGATACAGTATGTTGTGTATGCATTTTTATTGTACTGTAGGAATTGTTTTATTTCTTCTTTAATTTCATCTGTAACTCAGAGGTTGTTCACAAGGTTCTTATTTAATTTTCATGTATTTATGCAGTTTTCTCAGTTTTTTTGCCATTGGTTTCTTCTTTTAGAGCACTATGATCGGATAATATGAATGGAATAATTTCACTCTCTTTGCAATTATTTAAGAATATTTTATGAGTTAATATAAGATCATTTTGAAGAATATCCCATGTGCAGCTGACAAGAATGTATATTCTGATATGGTTGGGTAGGTCACTCTGTAAACATCCACTGAGTCTATTCATTCACAGGTGATTCAGTGCTATTATTTCTTTGCTGACTTTTATGTAGTTGATCAGTTTCTTTGTGACAAGGTCTCCTGTTACAATTGTGTTCTTGTATATTTGGTTTTTCATGTCCATCAGTATTTCTCTTATATCTTTGAGTGCTCCTATATTTGGTGCATATATAATTATAATTGTTAGTTCTTCCTCTTAAATTTTTGCACTAATGAGTATGTAGTGACCTTGTTTATCACTTTTAATAATTTCAGGTTTGAATCTCACTTTGTCTCCAATCAGAGTAGCCACCCCTGCTTTTTTCTGGGTTCCTCTTGGAAGGAATATTGCTTTCCATCCTTTGACTTAATCTATGAGTTTCTTTTTGAGTCAGATGTGTTTCTTATATATAGCATATTGTGGTGTCCTGTTCCTTGATCCATTTTGTCAACCTTCTTTTGTCATGTGAACTGAGCCCATTTACATTTATGGATATCACTGATATGTACTAGCCTGACTTTGCCATACGATGTTCCTTTCTTTTTTAGTTAGGTAGATATGAATTTCCTCTTTGTCATGGAAGTATCTTGGTTCTCCACTAAATTTGAAAGAGAGGGG